AGGATTGTTATAAGTTGAAGAACCATTGAAATAGAGGAGCACTAGACAGCTTTTTTGTCCTAGTAAACAGCCATAAAACCCCCAGGGATCAGACTGGGGTACAATCAGGTTTCATGGCGAACATGAGAACCATTTGGCCACTAGGTCAGAGTTCAGTGGTTCATAGTTTCCTACTTCTGTCACTTCACAATATAGCGTTGGCACGTGATTCACTTTCGACTGGTTGACCTCACGCGTAAGGGATTCTCATATCGTTAATGAGCACTATACAGTTATGTATTTTGAGGTCCAATGTTTTCAATCGTTCTACAAATGATGTCAGTCCGTGATGAATACTTCTTTAAAAATAAAATCCCCGTTAACCTCAAAATACTAGACCCATATTCGTTCTGCTTTCCTGTTTAATGCTGATTAGATTATTAAAAGACTAGAGAGAGAGTACCATCAATCTTCTGTTCACTAGGAACTATTTATCTTAACATAGTGTTTTGAAGAGTATTTGTTGTTTCACTTAGTCACCTACATGAATGTTTTGAACAAACTATGAGATCCCTAAATGTCACACCTTTGTTTACTAACGTCCCTCTAGGAGAAACCAACGATTATATTTGTGAACAATTATTAGAAAGGAAATTATGAATTTGAAAAAAAACTACTGCTAAAATGTACAATGAATGTCCAGTTCATCTTCAACAGTAATCTATACAGACAAGTTGACCGAGTGGCTATGGCATCCCCACTGGACAGGATATTTTCAGACATATTTTTGGCAGAGTTGGAAAATGGTCCTTTGAAAGATCAAATTGCTAATATGGAATTGTACTGTCGATACATGAATGATACGTTTGTAATCTTTGATAAGCGTATATGTATTAGTTCTATACTGAACCATTTCAACAGTGTTCCTCCATCAGTTCATTTTCGATACGAAAATTCAATCAATGATTCGATAGATTATCTTGGTGTGCTAATGACAAGAACCAAAGACGGCAGTGATGTATAGTGGCTAGCAGTGGAAACCAGGACGCGCGTTTCATCCTATTTAGGACTTGTCAGGTGGATGTACCTGCCTCCCAGTCAGTGATTTCGTTCCTACCAGGATTCGGACTCGGGACTCTATACTGGCTCTATACTAAGAAGCAAATATGGAAAACTAACGTCTAAGGCACAGTGCATGAACTTTCTCAGCTTTTTACCGATGAAATACAAACGTAATATAATCAGGTGCCTGACATTTACAGTAAGATCAATTGATTCTAAGGAAAAAGAACTATTGTATATCGGTGATATTCTAAGTGGAAGCAGATATCCGGATAAGCTCATGAAAGCTAACATCACCTACATTGGTCCTGAACAAGAAATGATGATATTGGAGAAGAAGGGAGACGCTGCAAGTGACATCCTTTCACAACGCCTAGCTAGAGCAGTCAAAAAGGACTTTTTATGCAGATCAGCTTTGCATATCATTCAGCAATCGGCTAATGCTCACTCCGTCACTAAAAGACAGCCTACTTGATCTTAGCTCTTCATCCTTCATGTGTCAGTTTAACTGTTCCTGTGAAACTAGTTATACAAGACGTAGGATGAGGCAAGTGCATCTCCGGATACGAGGGCATTCATCAGCTAGGTTCGGAAAGGGTGAAATGAAAGTGGTGGAAAGTTCAGTCCTAGAGCACCTAGTTGACATGGGGCACCACACAGATGCTAACAAATCTTTGAATGTCATTCATCGTATCGCCAACGCCTGCTCAAAATAGCGGAAGTTGTCACAATAGAATTGATCAGACCTGAACTCTGCATTCAGAAAGAACATTTCAAAGAGTTACTTCTCCTTTGGCCTTCAGTGAACTGAGGTCCACTCCTGCCTTTTTATTCGTGATTTGTTTGTACACTATCATATTATTTATCTGTATATTCATCATCTCACTATTGGGAAATTTAAAAAGAAAAACCGATTTCCTTACAATCCCTAAATCTCCCTTCATTCTGAAAATGTAAATGGTCTTAACTTGGCTTGATTTCACGCTGTACATATCCATTTAATAATTGATTATTTGGTGAGATCATAATAATATTTTCTTAGCTGTTACGAGAATGACTGACAATTGTGTTATTTACAGTGGCCACATAGGAACCATTATTACTGCTAATAGTTTGGTAACGCATAACGGTTTTTTCACTCAACTCGCCGGGTGAACTTCCTTTTTATAGTTCTCAGTTCTTTCATGCTTTTCATAACATTTCTGATGTTAATTTCTGTTGTTTTCTTGTTTATTTTAGTGCGTTGCTTGCTTCTTCCAACATATCTAAATTTTCCTACTGAGTGAAATGTAAATTCATCAATAGTTTGGAAACTGAAATTCATAATCTTTTTCACTTTCTACTTATTCCCTAATTTAAAAAATGTCCATAGTTTTCTACAATAAGAGTCTTTTATATAATTTTACTTTGTTACTATTTCCAATTTCACTCTGTTTGGAGATCAGGTAATAAAAATCACAGCGTTATATCCCAGAAATATTGTTATTCTCACTTAATGAATTCCAAGGGTCTTACTGTACTGTCTGCTGTAAAATTTTATCAACACAACGAAAAAAGCGTAATGAATTTTGGTGACAAAGTATTTCAAATGAATACATCGGTAGTTTCAGTAACCTGCTTCAGCAAGTAACTTGGAGACAGATGAAGAGAATATTTCTCAAGTGGCACCAAAGACTATATCGGCAACTGCTGAAGCAGTCAATTAGGCTTGTCGAGTGACTCATAGGTCACGCTAGCAACTACCGAGATTAATAACCACATTTTTATATTTCTGTTAGAATGGTAGATTTTTATAAAATAAAAAAACGTGATTGGTTATCTTAGCAGTTGTTACAGTGGGCCTTATAGTCACCCGGATGACAAAAAATCTGAGGTGAGACAATGTATTTCGTTCAGCTGATGTCCTTGTAGTGCACCATCCTGGCACCAAAATATAACTAGGGCTAAAATAAATAGTTTAAATTAAATTAACTAAATAAATCTCTAGCTTGCCTCCGGATGCTTAGGGTGTTTTAAGTTTTGTTTTAACGAGCATGCATCTGAGCAGGCTTGGACGCCATTTTTGCGCTCCATTGTGCTGATCACCACGCACGTACTCTGAGTCCCTAGTTCAGCCTTATAAGCCAGATAAGTTGATTAAACTTTTCCCTCATTAATTATTATTACATTTACCTTAAATACATAGCTCCTTTAAATACATTACGTATCAGTTCTTTTGATTTGTGTTTTGTTATCAGTACTTACACGTTAGGTAAAGTACTGGTTAAGCAGGTACTAGAGCACATCAAGTTAAGTAGGGTTGATGAAGCGTTACGGAATTGTAACACGCATCCCTACATCCTTATGGATAGTGGCTAGCAGTTGAATCCAGGAGGCGCGTTTCCTCCTGTTTGAGACTCGTCGGCTGAATATACCTGCCTCCCAGTGAACGATGTTATCTTCAACAAGACTCGAACCCGAGACCGATCGCATCATGCACCAGAACGTCATCTACTAGGCCAGTGATTCATGATAATCACTTCTTCATCGACGGATATAGTGTAAGCAACAACATAAAGCCGAAAACCCAATTTTGGGAATTCTTCAGCTAATGGGTATCTACCTAAAATCTGAAATCCCACTGAGTCACAGAAAATGATTTAACATCTCTCCGAATGGCATTCACCAGGTCAAAATCATGTAAATTGAGTAGGATTTTCCTAAACAGAATTATATATGATTGCAGACAGAGTGACTTTAAAAGTCACTCTATCAACTACTGACATATCCAGTTACGTTTCAAAATTTTGTGGAAAAATTAGCATTCCAGGTGAAATAAAGAAACCAAATTGGTAACTTGAGTGATTTCTAGGGCGGTTTTCATAGTCATGTCAGGTTGTAGACTAAACGTGTGCCAGCTGAATGATATCGGTACAGTGACAATGCAAGTCCAACTGGTAGCTAAGTCATTAGATATATTAGGAAACCTAATGTCACTGCCTACATCAAAGAAATGTAGAAAAATATAATGGAACGGGTAAATTCAAAGTTCATTTTTTTTATTCAATGTTTATTTATAGACCTCATCAAGACTAAACAAGGGGTATTTTTCTCCAAGTTCAAAGGTGAAAAAGTAAGCACCAAGTTATGGCATGGACATATTTGCTCATCAGTGTGTTCAGTGTAGTTGGATAATGCAGAAATAACTACCCTATTAACTGTTTTATCTATCATTATGCAATCTAATATCTATTCCGCAAAATTCACACACCTCGTATATTCCCTGTGACAAGTTTCCTAATAGTTGAGTACTGGTTGTAACTTTTATCATTTCAAAGGAAGTATAATGGCGATGAGAAACTTCCAAATGATCCAACAGTTATAAGGAATACTGAAAGTTTACCTTTATTCATTTTCCAAGAATATATCAAACTTCTTATGGTTTTTATCATGAATGACGTCAACTATATGACTATTAAAAGTCATTTACGATTATCTTAGTTTATTCTTTCTCTCAGATTTGACTTTTTCACATTTTACCTCTGTTCAGTGTAGTTAAAGTTAACTACCATGAATGTAGTTATCCATCATATACATAATTCACAAAGGAATAACCATAAAGATCATGAGATATATTATGTATACATGTGTGAGTAGATCAACTTCAGTGGATTTACTTCACAATAATATCTGGTATTTCCCTGGTTGAAATTAGCATTCATCTATTTTCCACCCTTGGCCGATAGATAAAATATAATTCAGTAAAATGAAGTGAGTTGTAGATAGGGACATTGCTACCATATCATGTTTCTTAAATTTATAAATTTTGAAAATAATAATGGTAAGACTGGTTGTGATTTTGGGACAACACATTACAAGTCCTTTGTAAAAAAATATTCTGTTTGATATTCTGTTTGAGCGCTTAATGTGGATATTCATCCCAGGTACTTATAGATAAATTAATTTGATAATAGGAAATCTAAAGCACTATAGTTGTATATTTTTGATTAGTAACACAAGTGACCTAAAGAACACTTACTAAAACGAGAAAATAATAATACAGTTGTTTGAAATACTTTTTAACCTACTCATATAACTATCAGAACTTCCTCTGTCATATTACAATAAATCTCCTAGTTCATCTTCAGTCATTGAATCCTGTTTCTCTAGTTTCTCTGATCCGGGACGAGGTGGTGCTTCTTTCTTCTTTTCTGGAGTTACAGTATCATTTTGATCAATTACTGGGACAGTCAAACAAACGAAGTATCTTTTTTCAGAACACAAGTGAACTCCCCACTGTCCAGAAATATAGTCCACAGATATACACCGGCGTTCACCCATGCGCATGGAAAATATTTCCTGATTAGGCAAGCGAAGAAAACTGAAATCACTTCTGCTGCCATCACTCCAGTGAAGAACATAAATAGACCTTAGAAACTCATTCATTGTTTTGATCACTTGACCACCTATCCAAAATGAATGATTTTCTTGTTTTGATATCCAATTAACAAGGGCAAGATTTTCTGGATAGGAGTGCAAAGATGCAAGGCTTGTTCGAATAACTATTCTAACACCCTCTGATTGGTTGACTGGACGTGAAGAAAGACGAATCAGATCCTTTTTGCCCGTAGAACTAAGTGTGCTTTCAGATTCAGACACCTTTCCAACTGAGAACCGACAGAAATCTTCGGCTGCAGAGAAGTTGAGTTTGGCCTGCTCGTCCCCATGAACAAAAGTGAAAACGCGGGAACCAAGGGCTCCACGACTTTTTTCAATTGCAGTAGTAGTGTGCAGAAAAAGAAAGAATCCCACTAGCTGCACTAGCATTGTTTGTAAGAGAATGCAAGTTGAGTGATAATCAGTCGTGATGAGAACTCATTCAAAAGTTCTAAAGAGGGAAAAAGAAAAGTATCTCGTTACTTTTTAGCAATATAATTCTAAAAAATATTTGTTTATCTGCAAACTTAGTTACTTTTATTGTTTGTCCTTACTAAGAGTTGACCTTGAGAAGTGGCGCTGACTCGAAATCCTACAACTGTACAATAGCTAAATGGGATCTAATAGTAGTAGTCTTGTGAATGTTTCTGAGGATGAGCCATTACAAAAGTTTGTTGGACTAGAAGAAATACCACCCGACAGTGATTACTGGAAAGAGTTTTTGTCTTCAGTCAGTTCACTGGTAAATAACAGGTTTGTTAAATTTTACGTGTCAAAGTTTCCAACACATTAGTTCGCTTGTAAACTTTGAAAACACCGACAGACGTTTGTTAAAAGATCTTAAAAAGAATAATCTCTGCTCCCACAACATTCCCAATCTCACTCAGTTCCTCATATCACAGATGTCAGAACTGATGGGATGCTCAGTGATGTAAGTTAAAGGGGTGAAATTTATACCTGCAGATGCGAAGATACTATTTTGACTGTCCAAAATGGGCTCCTTATTCTCCGTCTATCGGTAAAGTATCTCATGGAACACAGTTCCGAAGCCAGGTTTTTTTCCCATTTTACCGTAACTTCATCAGAGGGTAAACATACTTTTACTTACATTTCTTATTATAGATCGACATTGTTTATCTGTAATCGAATGCTTGTTCCCTGCGCTTTTTAAGCTTATTACTACTCTGCCTATACAGTAGGTGTTTTTCTAACTAACATTTCTTCCCAGGGACAATACCTACCTGTTACATTGTGAAGCACACTTGTTGTGTATAGTTTTACTTTCTCGTCAAATGTATAAAGAATTGTCTGCTCCTTTGCCGCAAATTTACGTTTCTGTCGTTTGGGGAAAGTGGTGAGTTAGATTTGTGATTTATATCTGGTTCTGGATATATTTCTCACTATTCTAAATTAATTATAGCAGTGCTTCACTGTCTGAATTGCCGCTCAAAAAGCTTATTTGTCACTGTAGTTTAGAAGTCAGTTATGTTATGCTTCTCATTAAAAGTTTTAACCCCTGTTAGGAATATACTTCGTACTACATGGGCATCCAAAAATGCAGTCAATCAATATGATCATATTAAGAAGACATAATATAGAAAGGAAACTAAAAAACTACGTAAGCAGGATAGAAGTGGGTTGTCATAAGAGCAGTTTCAAAAATACACGCAGAACTGCACTCACTTCTTTCGGTCTACTTTACAGCAATAGAAGAAAGAATGGAACTGCAACATGATCACTGGTTTTGACTCAGCCATTTTTGTTATCATCTCAAGCCACTGAATTGCCTGGTCTCTTGAATCTCATCAAGGGCGTTGTGAAGCCGATATAAATGCTAGCCGAACGTATTTATCATTCGTGCTGCTGATTTCATGCACTAACTTGTTCGCAGGGTGAACGAAGACTGAACTGCTTTGACAACGTCCGTAACATATGTCCAAGCCACTTAAACAAGTGTTTTAAAGGATACACTTGTGTGTTGCGTGGAAATCAGAGGTAGTCCTATCACATTGGTGTCGATCATTGGTCGTCACAGTTTATGCAAAAGTCGAAAAATTTTCTTATGACGACCACATAATCAGTTCCACTTGTCTTTTTCTCTGAGATCCGAAGGTCCATCGTATGACGTCTAACTTGAGCTCCAAAACAAACCATAGGAAAGCAAAAAGGTTTCAAACTTTGGGGTGAGTGTGTCGACCAACTTTCACTTTGTGTCAGGTTTTAGAGCATAAGCGCCTGGCATGTTGAATGACCTCAGAAAAGTTATAGACTATCGATTGGGGGTATTGTGAACTGCCTGGAGCCGGTATGGAGCAACTTTATTGTACTAATCAAGGCTGTCTACTAAAACTCAGTCATATAAGGACTGACATTGTGTTCTCATTTGTAGTTATGGTAACCAGTGGTGTCTACTATGAATGTCCACTGTCACCGCTCCTATTTCACATTGCCATGGATGTGCTAATGGATATAACCATGTACACCTCTGAATTATTAGGGATTGGCTTGCCCCTAGAGGACACCCTTTGCGGCCTAGATTAAGCAGGTAACGCTGGCAAAATATAGTCTTCTCAACCCAGTGAGCAAATATCTACATACGTTCACCACACTTTTAGCATCTATCAAATTTAAGGTAATTCTTCGTGTTAGATCTGCAGTAACTCCTGGTTTAAAGATAGAGTTAGGTAGTGGTGCTTGCAAACTTCTGCCGACTGAGATAGCTCGGACAGACATTGCATAGCAGAACTATGACCTACCGCGATATGCAGTTTTAACCGAACGGGGGTTAGTTGTAAACAAAGCTGAAGATGTCCGGACCAAGACGTAACATCAATAAACAGTGATTCCACCGCAAGAGTAACGAACGAAACTCACTAAGCTATCTTGTGCATATTTGTGCAGTAGACAATGAGCCACACCAATTGTGTAGAGGCTAGTGATGCTACCTGGCTGCCCTAACCTCAGTAGGTGGAATGGTGTTCGAACCCATAGCCCAATGGTAGGTAGTCTTCTCCTTAGACCACTGAGCTACAGTTCCACGATTCCATCATAAGTGAGAAGACACTTATTATCAAAAACCTGAAACCCCTTTATATCTTCTACCTTCAACCACTATATTTCAGAACCATAATATAGGACAGCAAAATTCTGCTCGGACTACTCGCCCTTAAACACGTGGTCGGATTTCTCCCTGATGCCAAAGGTGACACAAGTTGGCAAATACCAGACGGGTCGTAATATCTGCTTGCACACTCACTGACTACAGTTCGTTTGAGATAAAGAATGGGTTATAAGAAAAACTGTCCAGCCTTCTAATGAGAGCTAAACGTTCGGATGTGGTTGTCGTAGCAGGCGTTCTCAATGCCGAAGTGGGTAGGCTGTCAGATGGACAGAATAGCACTTAGGTGGCACTCTTGAAATACCAGGTGAGTGAACAAACAACGGAGGTCCCCTGCTACAAGTATACTGAGACAACCACTTGTTTTTGGCTACCACAAACTAAAGCATAAAGAAAAACATCCGACGTCTTATTTGCCGATCCGAACTCAGCGGTCGACACATAAACCATATTGCTATCAGTCATCTCTGGGAAGGGTTGGTGAAGGATTGCAGCCCCCTCTAGAGCACGTGTTTGACAGCGATCACAATTTGGTTCTAACGCGCTCATGTCTGCACTTAGATGTGCGTGGGAAAGCTACAGCAACAAGAGTATTTTGGGCAATGATAGTTCTCAGGCTACTTTCAGTTGTGAACTCGTTAGATAGTTATTGGAACGGGACAGCGTCACTCTTCTAGAAGAAACCTGGAAGCAGTCTGCTGTAAAAACTATTAAAGCCCGTATATGACTCAGAAAGGGCAAGTGGATTTCAACTTCTGAATTAGTGAATGTACGTAAAGGAACTCCTGTAGGCTACGAGCACATTGAGGTACAGGAGCAACTCGGAAGTAAACTGACAAGAAGTCTACGCAGTGACTGAAAACAGTGGTGGTGGGTAATGAGGGCTAAAGAGATGCCGAAGACACAGTTGATAGACAGCAGTCGATAGCTAATTAGACTTGTCAAGGAAACTAGGACGAAAACGTCAGTGGTTAGTCAAACCAAATCGGAGAAGCATTAATCTGCGATTCACTTACAGGAAAGATGTCGCTATCCAGTCGGATGCTGGTTGAGACTTTTAGAAAGGGCCTCCAACTCTTGCCGAAGTCGAGAAGGTTGTAAGCTATCTGATGCGGGAAAGGACGGGCAGGGTTATACGGACTAATGCCAGAAGTATTTAAGGACGGTGGTCACGGATTATTGGTCAAGTTTGTTGAAGTGTGGGCTAGTAGATTGAAGTCATATTATCCTCTGACTGGTCTGAATCGCCGATTGATCTTCCCTGGTGCCCTGGTTAGCAGTAGGTAGTGGAATGGTTGTGCGCTCTGTCCACTTCACTTACCTAGAAAGTTGGATTAGCACTGATGGGTCGTTGGCCAACGAAATCTCTGCACGGATGCCGAGAAGCGGATTGGCTTTTGCCAACTTACACTACCTGTGCGCTGCCACGATCTCCTGTTAGCAATTAAGGGATGAGTGTACTGCGTTACAGTTCGTTCTGTTCTGTTATATGGATGTGAAACCGGTTAAAAGTAGGGTACACGCAGAGGCAATTTCGAATGTTTGATTGCCATTGCCTTCGTATTATAGGCAGTTTTTTATGATGCTTTTATGTCAGTGACATAGAATACAGGTTTAGACTTTTAAGAAGTAGAGGAAAGTCGGTGATAAGGTTAATGAACCTTTATCAATGGAGGTGATTGGGACATGTGTTACGCTATGCAAGTCAAGTCAACATTTGCCTCCGCATAATGTTAAGTGAAGTAAATGCAGGCTAGGAAAAAGTTAGAGGTGCATAGACTAAAAAAAAGGTATTATTGCATGATTGTCAGTCTGAGCCGTGTATAGAAACGCAGATATCCCGGATCGAGTCCCCATGACTATAAAAGCCAGTGGTTGGATACTGTATGTGGCATGACTCAGAATCGATCTCAAAGGTGTAGATGTTAACATACATTCGCTTCATCATAATCGTCATGCCGAATTCAGCACTTATTTTTTCTTGTTAATTTATCACGACTTTCTACCACTTTGACTACCTTCTCTGTTCTTTTATCTTTGAGTTGTGGCAACCTAGACCGCTTCAGAGTAACCTCTACACCAATCCGTTCACGGGAGCTAGCAATTGAGTCTGCAAACACTTATAAAGTAAGTCATGCAAATTCCTCACATTGACTAAGAAAATCAACGTAGAACCTCGCTACATTGGTCAGTTGAAGTCAGGTGAATAACCACAATTGGATCATATATGCGTGTCGCAAAAATACAGCATGAATCCTTGATGAGAGACTTTGGAGTTTTATTTCATTATTGATTTAATAAAAGTATCACACGATGGTAGGTGATAGTAAAAGTTTGGAATGTTAAAGGTCATAATGACCCAAAGTGATACACTGGCTTAAATGCTTGCTCCCTCGACGTCCAACTATGCCAGAGAGGTCTGTTGGATAGTGGTAAGTCGAAAGAAGTCACCGTTGTAGTGTAAATTACTACACTATGATGGGGTCTGAGGGCGAATTCGTACTGGTAGTTGGATGAGGTGTGAGAGGAGTAAGATGTCTCTGTTGAATGACCAGCAGTACCACGCTGATGCTGCCTTTCTGATAGGAGGGGTGGGAGTTACAAAAGGTCGGCCCCAAAAATACACTCCGCCTGCCCCACAGTTTTCCGGTGGTATGTGTTCTTTCTCCTTGGTGTTAGAATAACCAACCCTCAAAGCATCCACAAAAGGCTGTGTATGACAGACCTGCAGCAGATGTCCCGTGAGCTGTTGATCTGAATCATGTGGGGCTTTGTAGACTGCATATTTGAAGTTCCCAATACGATAGGAACAAGTGGTTAAGGACTCTTGGTGATACCACTGAAAATCGGCTACAATAGCATAGATACATTCACTCTTTGATGTCTTCTAAAGCTTGAATAATTTCACTAACCGTTATCTTCAGATTATGTATTCTGTCACACTATTTTACCTTCTTTGAAATCACTCTACTATCCACCTGTTCTTTGTATGCTACTGAAAAGTGTGACAACTGAAACCGATGCAGATGTGTGTGAAGTTCTGCGTTGATTTTCTGTCCATCTAGATACCCTTAGTCTACACTATTGAGTCAAACAATCTAATCAATCCCCTTACTACTGTTTCTGCCGCACAAAGCCAGCTAAAAACTTTCGAAGTGCTTTGCCAAGCTTTTTAGGGTATCAACAAAGGTTGTTGAGTGGTATGTCGTCTACCTGCCAAACCATCTAACTGATGC